CAGGGCAGGGGGCTCGGCGACCGCCCTTCTCTCTCCCCGTCCGTTCCCCCCCCGCCGTGCGGGAACCACCTGCGGGCCGGCAGGACCCGCGGCCCGGCGGGCGGGGTCTTGCTCCGGTGCCTTCGAACAGAGCTGCGGGCTGGGGAAACGCGAGGCGCTCCGGGCACGGCTCCCTCCTCGGTAACCGAGCCCCGCGGGCGGTGTTCTTAGAGAGAGGACTCTAGCCCGAGATGGCTCTTTAATGGGCTTTTCGCAGGCGGGGTGCCCTCCGGAGCAGAGCCGGCGGAGCTAGCGTCCGCTGGGATTTGTCAGACACCCTCTGCCGATACCCTCTGGTCTGATTTATTGTGTTAGAAGGTTTCAAGGTCACATTGAGATTCTGGTGGAACTAAATTAAACCCATGACTCATGACATTATATGCTTGGTCAAACATTCTTTTTCTGTCTTGTTGTAGCCCCTGTAACTAATAAGAAGAGATCAGTGAACCCTTGACAAATGATCTGAGAAAAAGGGTGAGGTATGAAAAGACATCATGTGGAGAAACAAATTACAACCTATTTCCCCTAGGGTGGGACCAGGGTGTTTGGGGAGCACTGCTGGGAGGTCATACACCTCCCAGGCTTGGTAGATATTTTCAGAAGGCTGAAAATTGAGCAGAACTTTCATTTCTTCCATTGTAACTCAGCTGGACGAAATATCGAAAATACGGCGTATGGGGAAACCTTATACTAGCATGAGGAAAGAGCAGTTGCCTTGCTAAGGGTTCTGTAGTGTGACTTCACAAGTAACCAGGGCTGTGTGTTAGTAAAATGAGACTTTATAACTCCCAGTATTAAAAAAGGAATAGAGAAAGAAACTGCGTTCTGGAGCTAAGCATTTTGAAAACACTGCTCCACACCTACTTCTGTGTCACTCTGCCACTCTTTGCCTTGCTATGCACCCGCAGTAATCCGTGTTCCTAAGCAAAAATCAGCACTTAAAGCTCTTAGTCTTGAATGTGGTGGCTACTGCTGCAGGCTGATAGCTTTGGAAGAGCTAAATATGTATGAAATGGGGATGGGCAAATGGGGAAACAAATGGTAACTCTGAATCAGAAATATGATAGTAATTTGCACTTGAAGGCAGAGAATCTGAGCTGTGCAAGCTCCTCTCCTGCAGAGGTATATCCACGCTCTCGGAGAGAAGACTTAAGCACGTACACGCATGCTTTTAAATTGTGGGGCCATAGTAATGTTGTTCCCTTAGATATTG